TGTACGATCCATGTTGATATTTCTCGTGGGGTTTTCTTACGGAGACAATTGTATCGGTATTTATAGATCAAAGGATTGATCATACGCTAGAAAATATTTGCCATGTAGTTCCTTCACATTCCTATATTATTTGACATTGTATATATACGAATACAATTGTGATTCAAATATTCAATAATCAATGGTTATGGATCTTAATGTAATCTAAAAGAAGAATAGTGCATCTTTAGTGCAAGGAATAAAGCGTGCTTGTTAGAGACAATTGAAAGATATGTAAATATTTTTCACGTCATCTTTAATATCTCTCAAATTGTGCATCATCTCTCAATTTTGGACATCCTCCATCGACCTTGATTTATCTTGATATCCGATTTACTATCTCCCCTCAAAATGATCTGGTAAGTGTTTAAGGTTACTTATCGTGATGCAAGCGATTGTTGCCGCCTTTCGAAAAATTGACTCATCAAATTATATAACTGGCGAAATATATGGGAAAGGTGATGGAGGTTTCTGTAATTTCCCTAAAAAAGTCACAGTTCTTTCCATAGTTATAAGCTACAGAGGTGGGGGCAAATGGAGTGTGTGCAAATAAAAAGGGTGATCGTCATCGAGTGCACACACGAATCTATATCTATGTCTAATAAGAATCTCCTTTCACATTCTATAATTGCCCGTGGATATCCAATGAACACATATCTCCCCCTAAGCATGCATGGGTCTTGGCAATCCGATCGGCTCATGGCCGAAGGAAAATTGGGCGGGTTCAAGCAAAGGTCTCACGGGAAAAACCCGGCTTGCTCGTGCCATGGCACGGTCCCAAAGAAAGAACATTTTCTGCGATTCGTCTTTTCACAATTTTGAATATATGTCTTCCTCCACTTTCGTTCCTCCCGCGTCTCAGGCTCAAGCAAAGCTTCTTCGTGGATCTCCACGATCTCGTTCAAATTTGATGACTCGTGCACCGCAAGTGCTTGGCCTTTTCAAGCTCCCTTCTTTCCCCCCCGGTCCAAGGTGTACTGTTTTTGTCAACAACTGTTCACATGGAAAAAGAAAGGAAAAATCTACATTTGCAACATTGAGCTGAACCGGCTCGAGCCTCGGTGAGAGAGGAGATTATTGAAGCCAGTGTCAGCGTCGAGCCTCCATTTTGGACTACGATTGAAACTATACAATCTCAATAATGATGAGTAGCAGAAAGAGAGAAAGAGTAGTAGGCTCGCCTAGGATTCCCTCTTTTAGGAAAGAAAGCAAATCACGGGTATGCACGCTTCCTCGGACATCGTGAAATGAATGCTGAGCCTGCCTCTATCACCCCCACATGCACAAGGTGAAACCTAGTAATGAATCTGATTGAGACACCAATACCGCAGAACTACCAGCGAACTACGAACTTCGCTGATCCTCGCCGAGAGCATCGTCTCGCCGGTCCTTAAAGACAATGAAGTGAGTAATGCCGACATTGATTTAAGATGGTGCTGTGGAGTCACTTGTTAAGTATACAAAAGAAAGAATTCGTTTTCGAAATATTGACTGCTTGTGAAGTTTTGCGTAACTAGCTATTTAACAATCACCGAGGAAATAGAAAATGCTAGTTCTACTAGGATATGCTACTAAAGACTTGTTTTTTATCAAATGACGTGGCAAGTTTTAGTTGGGCATCGAAACATGCGAGGCTTATGAAATTGAAATTGTTGCTTTTTTTAGACATGCCTGATAAGTAATTGCCACGTCACTTAAATGATAAAAAATTTAATAAGGTTTCTTAGTATATCATATTTACTAAAAAGAAACATCTCTCACTGTGTACTTGATTTGAAGCTTGAGCTTAATTTCAGCCATAATTTCCGCTTGTCTCAAGTTGAAGTACATGGGCCTACTTCATTAAGTCAAACTTGAGCTGGAAAATCCTAGTTTGGTGGTGCTGGACTAGAAATGTCATGCATTGACTCTTCAGTCACTCGAATATACGTTGATCATACTCTCCCATTAGTATTAGAAAGGTGGATGGTATCAGTTTACACCACAAGCAAAAGCTAGCCCGAATCGAACAAGGGGGGGTTGAGAGACGGCATGCACTAAAGTTACAGCCCCCGTCGCACCGGATGGATATGATGAATTGATTACCTTCAGAGACACATAAATCAACTAAAGTTTTCCCTCTAACATGTGGTATCTTCATTTCGATCAAAATCATGTGAATCTGTCTCTCTATTATTGGGTGATGGAATGTGGCTTCTCTTGCATCGCCAGGTAGAACTGTCAGCTTTTTTTCACTCCATTTTGATGAATGAATCTCTCTCTCTCCGCAACAGGATAACAGAGGATGGGGAAGAGAAGGAAGAAAATGAAGGAACATGTGTATATGCTCTCGTGCATGTGCTGCGACATCAGAAATGTCACATGCCCATATGAGCATCAGATCAGCCCACCTCTCCCTCACAGCAAAAAAGCGGCCACCATCGCCATCATCATCAACCTTCGCTCTGGCCCAAAAAGCCATCTTCTTCTCCGCCTCACATATATATAAATTGCAACCCTCTTTGTTTCAAGCATGGTATTATTTTACCGTGCCTTCAATCATGCAAGTTTCTACATGCTTTCTTGGGCGTTGCTTTTCATGCTCTTGGGCCCTCCTTTTCAACATGACTTGGGTCCTCTTTGCTCCACTTTATAAGGACCAACCGAGCACTTTCGCCATGAGCTCTCTTGCATCGCACCGATCGCTAATTATTGAGAAGATTTCACGGTGTTTCAATATACTTAAAGGGTACTAAGTTTCAAAGTTATGTTGGAGTGATTTGAGGAATATCAAACAGAAATTAGTGGGAAACCTTCATCTTAACTCACCCTATCTTTGTTGGGCTTTCTTTAAGGTGCAGTGGAGGGCACTAAGCTTTTTGGATATTCTTCCTTCTTTTCTAGAGATTTTTCTCTCAGACCTCATTAACATGGTAGGGTGTACTGCATTACTATATAGTCGATTGATTGTACTTGTATTTGATCGCCACGAAGTAAAGTCGAATAGGACATGATATGACTAAAATCCCCAAAAATTCTTATAGCCGATGCTTTATTTGGAATAACACCTACAATAAGAATACACAGACACATTAAACCAAACCCTAGTTGCAAGCCATCGCTTCCGCTTTGTTCAGCTAAATATCAAGAAAAGGCTACTATTGCATGGATCGCTTTTGAGACAACGATGACATAGGACTATCAACGAAATGGGGGATGGGGAAAACTGTGACAACAGTTGTTGCCAAGGTCACACCGCTCCGAGTGCATCATGTTCACAATAAACTTAAGTTATCATCCCGACTCTTGCGCACAAATAAGTGATCTATGCGGCATCTTATTCAGGTGACCAAAGCTCGTCATTCAAAATGTATTGGATGTAGGATCGATCCCCATCAACTAAAATAAATTTGTAGGAGGAAGTTAGTCTAGAAAATGTACTTAACTTGCCATCCAAAAACAAAAACAAAAACCCTAAGAGCAGACCCTGATTCCTTCCCCTCTACAATGCGGTTGCAAAGTTGTGATTTGCAAGGCTAACGATCAAGTTTCTTTATACATATACATTGATAAAAGAGCTCCATTCCAAGAAGGACTTCCACGGATGGACTGTGCGTAGCCAATAAGTTCATAGCTTTCCTCGATCACCGCGAGATTTCTCAGCATCGAGCCCATCTCTGTGTTGACCAGCTTTCTACGACAAACGACCACCTCACGTCAAGAGCTTATGGCAATGTATTGCTTTTATTCTTTTCTTTATTTGACAGCTTTCTCTACAACCAATACTTCACATCATGCTTCTTCTTTTTTTACACATTATTAAGTCGCTTTGCTTCTTTCAATTAAGTTCCGAGATAAGTGGAGAGCACTTCTCTTCTTTCTTGACCTGAAAGAGGATGGTCCTGGCAAAATTTTAGGCGATAAATCGGGCTAAGAGAAACTCATTGTCCATGGAAAAGTTTGAGGTAATGGAATCATAAGAAATTTCTACTTTATTGCTATTTGCATAAGTGATAAGATTAGCTTTCCCAATCGTATGGAGTGACTGACATGAAGAATGTAATATATTAGTTATACAAACATTACTGGAGTTTCCCTATCCTTTTAATTGCTCCCTCTAATCGGAACCTTTAATATGAATTGGAGAAATGGTTTTGAAGAGAACTTGAGAACCATTTCGAGGAGAGAGCAAGTAAAGGAAGACACTAGAAAGGGAAGCTCTAGTAAATGTTCATGCAATTGATACGGTCTATAGATGCCCAAGTGATAACCACAGCGTGTGTGGCTAGAGGAGAAAAGCAGTCAATCTCAATGCCCCGTAAATGATAATTTGAATCGGGCTTTTTAATTCCTAGTCGGCTAAAATTTTCTTGGTGCCGTTAGTATGATTGATTGTTTTAAACCTTTATGCCCGAGCCGATGCACAAGTGCCTGCAATATTGCTAATGGCATGATAGACCAATAATGAAAGAAAATATATTTACACAAGCGCATCCTATGCGAAAATTCATAAAAGAAAATCTAATGTGGCATTTGGTTTTCTCTAACTCACATTACTTTGTACGAAGGACTGTTGTTTGTTTAGACCTCTCATATTGTACATTATTACATCGATATGAAAAAAACATGAATTCCCATGTGATAGCCGCATAGCTCCTGCTGTGCAATTAATTTCCCTTGGAATGTCACTCTCTCTGGGCAAAAGGGCAAACCCTAGACACACTTTTTCCCAACTATACAGAAGGGCATTGGGCCACAAAAGAAAATCATTTAAAAATGGCATCTTTCAGCTTCATCTGCAATAAATTCTGAACTTACCCCCGATAATCTTTTTTAATATGGTAATTAGAAAAGGTTCCATTTAACCAAGACCAAAGACCCCTGTTGGAGAATGTGGCCTTAATTATTGTTTGCTCTGTAACCAAGCAGGAAGTTATGCTGAAGCAGCTTTTTCTTTCCCACTTTATATATAGTGAAGGTGGTTGCTCTGTGCACTCTTGCAGGTTGGTCGTTGGTTGGTTGTTTTGGGGCTTCTCTGATTTCCTTTCCTTTCCTTTCTTTTATATTTTTTTGTTTTCCTTCCAATGGCTCTCTTCTTCCTTCACTCTTTCACTCTGCTCCTGTTACTTTCTTGCTTCTCTGCTTCTCTGTTTCTCTGCAATGCTTATTACCCGTTGAAGCACCGCCACCAACACCATCCCCGCTTCGCCAGCCACAACTACAGGGATGCTCTCACCAAGTCCATCCTCTTCTTTGAAGGGCAGAGATCTGGGAAGCTCCCTCGCAGCCAGAGGGTCACCTGGAGGAGAGACTCTGGCCTCTCGGATGGGTCTGCTGCCAATGTATGTCCTTTAAAGATCGCGTCTTTCTTCGGTGCTGTGTCGCTGCTGTGTCGGTTTCTCTTACTTTTTGCTCTTTCCCATCTTGTTGTGTGAGCAAGGATGGAAATGCCAAGTTGGTTTTGCTCATTTCGGGTGTGTGTGGATGGGGAAAAATGTGCAGGTGGATTTGGTGGGAGGGTACTATGATGCAGGGGACAATGTGAAATTTGGGTTCCCAATGGCGTTCACCACCACAATGCTCTCATGGAGTGTCATTGAGTTTGGTGGGTTGATGAAGGAAGAGTTGGGGCATGCCAAGGATGCCATTCGGTGGGCCACTGACTATCTCCTCAAAGCCACTGCTCATCCAGACACCATCTACGTCCAGGTCTTTCCGGCATTCTCTTCTTTTCTTCTGCACTCTTTTTTTTGGGCGATACTTGAGTGGAACAAGTTGAATGTGCTTTAGGGGATGGAAAGAGTGGAAAAAAAAGTGCATTTCTTTATGTTTCTGCATCATCTGCTTTCAACAAGTCTTGGGTTTTTTAGATGGAGAGGACCCAAAAAAGAAACAGATAAGAGGGGCTGATGGATTTTGGGTTTTTCGGCCTCGTGTTTGTTCTTTTTAAGGTGGGTGATGCTAACAAGGACCACTCATGTTGGGAGAGACCAGAGGATATGGACACACCGAGGAGTGTGTACAAGATAGACAGGAACAACCCTGGCTCTGATGTGGCCGGCGAAACAGCTGCTGCTCTTGCTGCTGCCTCCTTGGTCTTCAGGAGGAGTGACCCCACTTACTCTAGGCTCCTGGTCAGGAGGGCCATCAGTGTAAGTAACAAATCCCATTAATCACAATCTTAAATCTTAAAAAAGGACAAGTTTTAAGTGTTTGCATGAACATGTTGGATAACTACCTCTTTAATCATTAACATGTTGGATAACTACCTCTTTAATCATTCCCTGGTATATTTCAAATCCACCAGGTTTTCCAGTTTGCTGATAAGTACAGAGGATCTTACAGCAACGGGCTGAAGAATGTTGTGTGCCCCTTCTATTGCTCTTTCTCTGGTTACCAGGTGAATTTCTTCACATTCCCCCAAGAAAGAATTTTTGCTCCATTTGGCACCCCGATTAAAAAGATTAGATTTTTTTTTTATAGAGTTCTACAAGCAATGCCAAATTACTGATCAATTGATTGACATGTTCCACCCAAAATAACTAAGTGTTGGTGTGTGCAAAACGAATGGGACAGGATGAGTTGTTGTGGGGCGCTGCTTGGCTGCATAAGGCCACAAAGAACCCAACTTTTCTCGACTACATTCAAGTGAATGGACAGACCCTTGGAGCTGCTGAATATGACAACACCTTTGGTTGGGACAACAAGCACGCCGGCGCCAGAATTCTGCTCTCCAAGGTGAGTGTCCCCCATCTCGGGACTATTTTCGCTTCCGGTTTCATCGTCCCTCGGCGTTTCGCGGGGCGATTACGTGGTTTTTGGTCCCTTGACTAATTTCTTGTTTTGGTGTGATTTTTCAGGCATTCTTGGTGCAGAATGTGCAGTCTCTCCATGACTACAAGGGCCACGCGGATAACTTCATCTGCTCTGTCATACCGGGGGCTTCTTCTGCTCAATACACCCCAGGTGACCCACTCTCTGTCTCTATCAAAATCATAATTTGTCTTTTATCTGTAACGGCTAGTCATGATGATTTTTGGATACTTGTGAACACATGTATAGGCGGCCTTCTGTTCAAGATGAGTGATGGCAACATGCAGTATGTGACCTCCACCTCCTTCTTGCTCGTGACCTACGCCAAGTACTTAACCTCGGCGAACATGTTCGTCAATTGTGGAGGCACCACCATCACTCCGAGCAGACTCCGCAACATCGCCAAGAAACAGGTAAAAAAAGATAAATGACCTCACATTTCTCTTGTAGTTTTCAATTCATGGAACTTTACCATGAACCGTGTAATGGACACGTTCGAAATCGGATCTTCCCGTCTTAGTAAGTGGATTTCGACACTCATTAGTTAATGTGACTTAATATTTATCCTGTGTTATATTTATAGGTGGACTATCTACTTGGGGACAACCCCTTGAGAATGTCCTACATGGTGGGGTACGGCCCGCGATACCCGCAGAGGATCCACCACAGGGGATCGTCCCTCCCTTCGGTCGCCTCCCACCCGGCAAAGATCCAGTGCTCCTCGGGCTTCAACTTCATGAACTCGCAGTCGCCCAACCCGAACATCCATGTGGGCGCAATAGTGGGCGGGCCAGACCAGCACGACCGGTTCCCGGATCAACGGTCCGATTACGAGCAGTCTGAGCCATCTACCTACATGAATGCGCCCCTGGTTGGCGCGCTGGCTTATCTAGCCCACTCTTTCGGGCAGCTCTAGGCTTATCTAGCCCGGACCATCGTTTTTTTAACTTCTCCTTTTCCCTTTCTTCTTGTATTTTAGTATGGAAGTCGAGATTAGGGTCCTGAAAAGGTGCAATGGGGCTGAAGAGACATGGCCTAAAAAAAATGGGTCAGAGTCGAGCCTCGCGCCTTCGAAACACACCAGTGGCTAAGGTGTAGATAGGTGGTTTTAGATCTTTCACGTGCTGTGTCGTGTCGTGTGAGTCCAAGTTTCGTGCCAGGAACGGCGCTTCTGCAAGGAAAAAAGGGTCGTCGCGACTGTCTTGTTTAATGGCACACAACTTGGTTCTTGAAATGATGTAACTGCTCTGTTTTTTGGAGGGTTTGTTACTCTTGGTGTTTTTTGGAACTTGCAATCCTGTCCTCTAGTGCCTCAACACAGCACATGGCACACCTCGGCTCTCTCTCTCTCTCTCTCACTCTCTCTCTCTCTCTCTCAACACATTACACTTTTCCCAGACAAACGGATATGACCCAGTAAGATATCTCTGACAAGTAGCACTACGCGAAAATGAAGCGCCAATTGACAATTCTTTGGAAAACTAGCGAAACTCACAATTGTAAGTTCAAGTTTTATTAGGAGCACTCGGGGAGTAAAAATTGAATACGTGAAATGGAGAGATACTTTCTTAACGTCAGGTGCAGATTGCTTGCTCGCTCACTTGGAGTTCGGTTTTGGATTGAATATAGACTCCAAACTACTACTAGAATGTATCCATTGAATGGTAACTCATGTCGATTGAGGATTTTCTCTTGACATTTGAACCGGGGAGTGAAATTCCTTTGTGGTAAAACAAAACATTTCCAATGTTAAAGGAACTAGCAAAGCGGAAGGAGGAGAGGAGAGAAACTCAGGCTTGGGGGCATCCAAGGTAAGCTGATAAATTTAAGGGGACAAGGGGATAATGTTGTTGTTCCTGGGAAAACGTAAACTAAGGTACCAAGTTGCTGTGTTTTAGTCTAACGAGCGATTGACCGTTGAAAAGTGAAGAGGGGGGAAGAGAGAGGGAGAGCTGAACACGTGACCAGTCGTCTTCCGATGCCATATTGAGTAGTCAAAAAGCCTGGCGTGTTTTTGCAGGGGTGCAACAGCAGAGCGTCAGGGCTTAATTAAAAAGCAGAGAGAGTCGCCCGTTCGAGATCACGCACATGGCCCAGCAGAATAAGATCGAGTGCCCGGAGAGAGACATTCCCCCATTGACTCGGACTCACAAATGATGGGCAGATTAACTCCTAAACTTCAATTAATTCGTTTCAATATTAAACATTTGTTAAAGAGTATAATCAAGTTTTATAATTTAGGAATTGTTTGTCAAAAGGACTTGAAGGGTATAGTCGAATTTGGGACTCGGTTACGTTTCGCGCGCAAAGTTTGAGGATGCACTTCTCCAAATTAAGCATACACAAGTTAGAGCACAGCATGCAAAAGCAAGTCGCGCGCACACACCTGGGTGGGTGATCGAGCGTTTCATTGGAGGGTATGAAGTTTGATAATGCATAGGTTATTTCACATTCAACCTCGTTACAGATATCAGCAATTCAGCATCTTAGGATCGGAACTCGTGATGCATATACATTACTGTCTCAAGACAACTATAACTGCAGCATCCTTTGGGAAAACCGTTCTTCGCTCGAGACCGCAGTGACAACCTCGCTGCAGAATTATTTTACTGATACCATCATATGAAGGGCGTGAACTCTGCCCCCAGATTATTCAATACAGCATGCTCATGCTTCTGCATCGGAGTGAAAGACAGCAATATTTACAAAGTGGTTGCCCCCGTGTGACAACCCTCTCGAGCTTTCATACTTCGTCGATGCCGCCAGATTAATGGGGTTCATCAGTTGCCAAGGGAACAGTTTTCACCTGAAACAAAGCAAGCATAAAGCATTTGGACACAGTCGAGCTTTCTTCCCCGATCAGTGAAGAAGAGTAGCGAGATTAGCCTACATACTTGCATTCAGGTATTAAGAAACTGATACACAGCAATTGAGGTAGAGACGTCTTAGCCTTATTGAAAATTTGATTATGTTCAGCTTACAGCGAGAAGAAATAACAATTTGCCTATTGAAAACCAAAACATTTTGTCATTAGTGTTGTTTCCATTTTCCACCTTAGCATATCTAGTACAAAATATAGTTGCTATGTTATATTGAGGCTAATTTCTATCAAATCTTCACATTATCGACAGTAATTGTAATTAAAGGGAATTAGTAAAGCCCTCGTAGAAATTTTATCTGATCAAAGCCTGACATCTGAACAAAATTATCCGGCAAAACTGTTGAATCTTGCAAAGAAACAACTAAATCGCAAGATTCGCAACAGGCTGTAGACAAAATACTCGGACAGGATCATTTCTGACTGATGTTAAACCAATAGATACAAAAACAATCCATTGTCAAATTGTTGGTGGAAGTAAGATTAAATGTTCCTAGATTAGTTTTAACAAAGCAAGGTGGGATGAAGAGAGTTTCAATATATGATAAATATGCTATCTCAGTTTCCCAAACCTACAGCCAGGGGCCAAATATAAATTTTTACCTTTTTCTTGGCCAAACATTATATCATCTACTGCCTCATTGCATTTTGGCATTGCCATATAAAGCGTTGTTACTCAAGATATACGCAGATCAGCTCAGGACCCTCATTTACATTGAAAGATTGAAAAATGAGTACGGCGCTAAGTTAAAATAGTGACAAATATATCCAGTATGACAAGAATTGTCTTCCAGAAACTTACCAATTCCCGGAATTTAAGAATGTAGAACATCTCAAGATATCGCCGGGTCTCACGCCTCTCGAGCTTTGAAACATACTTCCAGAAGCCATAAACCCCCGCCAGTGTCATCAGCCTCTCTGAATAAATCTTCCAGGTGTACCTACAGTGTAAAAATTTCACGTCATTAAGAATCAGAGAATGCATGTCCAAAACAATTACTTCAGCAAGTATGTGTCCACTAAAATTTGACACATCCCAGAATGATTCGTGATTCGGATACCACATATATCAGAAGCTACTAGTCTCCTAACCTTTCATAGATCCTCTGAAGCCCAGCATCAGAGATTTTATTCCAGTGACTGGGGTCCTCTTTACATTGCTCAAAGAAATCTGTCAGTAATGTGGCAGCCTGGTCAGGATGATATGGATCAATATGAAATCCTGATACACCGTGTTCAATTATCTCTGCTGGACCACCATGACAAGTGGCAAATGTTGGAAGGCCACATGTCATAGCCTCAACGACCGTAAGCCCAAAAGCTTCATAAAAAGCCGGCTACAAACAGGAAGAAGAGTTAGAAGCGAAAAGGTTGGTCTAGATGAAGCATCAATATAATCCATGAGATTAAATGTTTGTCGCACAAAGTGCAAGTTCAGAAACCACCTGAACAAAAACACCTTTTGTGTCTGCTATATAGCGGTAAAGCTCTCCATTACGTGCCCGATTTGTTTGGGCCGCTATCCAACGAAATTGACCATCCAAATTGTATTTCTTCATCAGTTCGTGCATCTTTTCGATTTCTCCTATCTCTTCTCTGTCCTTGGACTTCTTCACATCAATGTAACCAGCCACCAGTACAAGATTTGCTAGTTCCCTCAATTTTGAATTCTTAGCATAGCATTCAACCAGCCCTGTCATATTCTTCACTTTGTCCAGCCTTGCCATGGAAAAGATCATGGGCTTGGACCGATCAGACAATGATCCTCTGCAGCAATTCAATCAAGTAATGTAATTAGCAACCTATTATATTTCTTTTGCCAATAAAGGTGATAGAATATTTTTTTACTAACAACCATTTTTCTGTTACCATAAAAAGCGAGCTTGCATTTATATAGTAAGAACAATATCTCTCCTCCCAATAATCATGGTGAAGATATTAACAAGAGAAAGTGCAGAACCTAATGAGATTACAAATGATACATCGACTCTTAATTTCGAGGCATGGAACTGGGCTTTTCTACTCTGGTTACTCAACTTTATTTTGAAAATACAGATATAATCCTAGAAAAACATAGCTCACTATGACAAAAAAGCACATATTTTCTCAAATGAACAATCACACATGTCATTGAGTTATAGCATTTCTAATGCGACAGCAATTATCTTGACTGCGTAATGAGGGCAAGAGGCTTCCGGTTAAAAGACAAATTAAGAACATGAATAAGACTCACATGTGCTCATCATTTTGTTCAGGATCAAATAACAGCTTTTCTATTGATCCATGCAAAGCTGTGAGTCTCTTCTGCTTTTCAAAGTAGGGGAAATAGATGCACATATCTGCCCCAGGAGAGACAATGTTGAACTTCGGATCAAAAACATCAATTCCATGAACAACTCTGTACTGCCCTGGAAGAGTGAAAGCAGTGTGGCTCTCATACTGGCCAACAGTATTCTTCCTGAGGGAAGAGCAAAGTTATTAGAAATAATGCAGAGAGTGAGAAAACAAAAATCTAGGAAATCCATAATTAGTGTCCAAATGTAATTTAACAATTCCAATTCCCAAATGCACAATAGTTCCCCCAGGATACAGAACTATGTAAAGTTTTGCACAATCACTATAACCACCTAGGAAAAATATAATCCAACATGTAACTGAGAATGAAAACCACTGCACATTCTATAAGTCAAAACCACTTTTTAGGTGAAATTCTGCTCATAATTCCCAAAAAAAAGTTACACATTTCTCTGTTGTATGCTTGAATCAGTTCACTGTCAAAGACATTTCCATGCAGCCTGACCCGTGACACTGTTGTCAGCTGCTTAAATCATACATTTATTGTAACAATAGTTGAAAGCTGACAAAACTTTTGCAGAAACTCGATGTCCACATATTGAAGGACTTATGAACCATATAAAATATTATTGTGGAGATTCCATTCTTTCACTACCATAGAATGAGAACTTTATATGACCCCGAATGACAATATTCTCGCCAGTTAGCACTTGGGAGATATATTTAAGGGGTTCCATTTCTCCAAGAAAGAATAGAAAGCTTTATATGCTCAGCTAAATTTGGATGCATTTTCTAAAACAAATTGAAACTCTAACTAAATATGTTCAATCGCCAATTAAAATAGATTGCTTCTAACAGGATTCATCCTGCTGCCTCATATATAAATGAAACTAGGATGCCTCAATCTGGAATTTGCATGTCCAACATTGATAATCTCCGATAATCCTATTCCTGTCGCTCAGGAAAACTTTCTACTTCAAAAATCCAAAGGTGCATAGATTAGACAATGAAAGGAGATGATGAACAAGGGCCTCAATGACTAGAAAAGGACATATCTACCTCAACTATCCATTAAGATAAGGAACTGGCTTACAAGGAAGAAACAAGAAGGAAAGTTGTTTTCTCCTTATCTAATTGTTGTTGCTTTTTCCCTTGATTGGATAATTTAATATAATTTGGTCAACAATTTCTCTTCATTTTAAGAAGATCAACTTATGAAGCACTTTCAGTTGATAATGAATTGGATTTTCAGAATTTCAGGTTGCTTAATCTTAAGATCACACAAGTATCTGTAGGATTAACATTTTCAACTTCAATCACATCAATTTTCTAAAAGTTCTATGTTATAGGTCTTTTTCAGCTTTAATCAGCATGCACATTAGTGGCCATGCAAATTGATCACATTCAGAAGCAACTTATCCGTACTTATCAAATGTCAGATAACTATGTGGTGAGCGACATACTACATTCACGATCACATCCAACCTTTTTATTTTTATTTTTTTTTGGCATTCAAGTGGTATCTAGGCTAGCTTTTGCGCACCTCGACTGGCCTACTAACCGGGGAAATCTCACAAGATATGTAAGTAATGTAACCAATCTACAACGAACAATTCTTGTATTCAGGAAAAGGAAAACTTACGTTCCTGCAATTTCTTGGTATGTGCTAGTGATGATAAAGTCCGCATTATTCATGGCTAGTAAGTCAGCAGTAAATTGACATGAAAAGTGGTACTTCTCATCAAACTTTTTCCAGTATATGTCAGAGTCCGGATATTTTGTCTTCTCCAGAGCATGTGCTATGGTGCACTGCATACATGAAATGTGTTAACAATTATTATTTGAAGAGACTAGTGTGACGGCAGAAGTTGCTAAAATAAATAAGGAAATGGAAAAACTGCTAACCTGCGTGACTCCCATTTTATAAGCCAATAACGAAGCAACAAGATTACCATCACTATAGTTCCCAATTATAAAATCAGGAAATGCTTGTAACTCGGCTGTAATTTCATGTGCTGCATCCTGTTCAAAATCAAACAAACATTAACAGGGGCCGTTGAGAAATCTTCCATTTCTAATCAAACCAATTCATTATCTCAGATTCAGAAAATCATAAATGGTGCCACCGAGGGACACCCAATTGCATTTTGTTGTATCACATGAATAACTAAGAGTATGACCATCTAATAATAGTTGAGGGATTACAAAATTATGGAAGGATGAGAAACGGCACCAGTGATGACCATAGCAGTGAGTCAGTGACTAAATATACAAATAGTCAACCAAATAAGCATGGAATACAATTGGTGGTATAATATTCATGCAGTACACAGTTCCGCAATAATTAAAGAGATCCAATAATGCAGGATTTACTTGGCAGCTCTGCAATTGAAATTATTCCATGTTATCTGAATGAACTACCAGTCAGCCAACAATCAGCCGAATGTATAGAGATGCCAAGTCTTGCAATGGAAAGATCGTCAAAATGCACAGCCAGGTGATGGAAGGGAGAAACTGAGAGAAAGCTAGTTGCTAGTGGTTGAGAAAGAAAGCATCAATACTCACGACTCAAGAACAATAAGAATATAACAAAGTGTAAACCAGAAATCAAAGGAAATAAAAGTTCTGTCAGGGTATCTCTGGTATTAAAATATATGTCTGGAAACATTAGTAAGAACATGAGGAAGTACTCAAGCAATCCTGTAAAATTTACCATGGCAAACGTCTCCAGATAAGGCCACACATCAAACCGAGAGATCCATTTACGCAGAATTCCTTGCTCAGATCTGAAAGGAACTCGCAAGATATAACTATGTTCTGTTCCACTAACTCTTTCAAGCCGCTGATTACAGGAAGTTCCCTTTGAATCAGGTATTAGCCTAGTAACCTGGTAAAGACAGAAAAACATCTGTAAAGAACAAAGGATGAACCACTCAATTTATAAGATACATATACAGAAACTTACAATAAGGATTTTGGGAGCAATATCCAGCCCCTGCTTCTGTATCCTCAGTAACATTTCACTCTCCAAGGCACGGACTTGATCCAGTATGTAAACAACCTACAAATTCAAGACGACTAACTAAATAACTTTAAAGAAGAATGCTCCTTGTAACAATTAAAGAAAATACTGATTTGTCTTTAGTCATACATACATTAGCGAATGCAGAGGAATTTACAAGATCGCTAAGCACTCTTGCACTTGTGACTGAAATAATCTACAAGCCCTATTTACCAAAATGAACAAACAATCACCTGCCCACCGGTGTCAGGTAAACCCAACACATTTGCTTGCCCAAAGTATCCATGGGGAGACAAAATGACAACGTTAAACACCATAGGTATCCTCCCAAGAAATGTTTCTAGAGTAGAGGGATCAGGAGCCTGGAGTATATCCAATAGGAGATGCATCATTTCTAGTACCCTCGCTGCAGTATCACCCCACCCTCTCTCAAATCCCATACCTTGTAACCTGCATAAATTTAGAGCAGAGAAGGCAAGATACATAGCATTAGACTTCAAAAGTATTTCTGCCAAGTTTGTTTATATTCATAAGAGAATCATGTCAAGGAGTGTACACATATTCAGTTTCAGAGTATGGTGTATCAGGTGACAGTTTAGAAAGATAATCTTCTGCTTTAGCCAAAGCAGACTGAAGCCTTGAGATGCTCTGTAGTCTATCATTCAGCATCAGTGTCTGCACAGAAAGCATAGTCAAAGTGGATCACTGTGCCAAAAACATATAGCAAGACAAAGTATTAAGACTCCAATTGGGCGAAGAAAAGGAATGGACGAGGACTGCAATTGTACATCTCCAATCTGACTCAATACCGGTAGTAGTGCTAAATACTGATTAGTAATATTATCACAACAGCAGATAATTACATTCCAACAAAGTTATCTCTTGTGGACTTACATGTCCTTTATATTTGTGTGCTCGAAGAAAATCAAGTAATGGCTCCAAACAGTCTTTGTTGCGAAACATAATCGACGAGAGATGACGATTGAGAAATTGAACACCATTTCCAATGGATGAGGACCGATTTGGGCGGGGAAAACTTGCATTGAATGGCTCAAAATCAAGCTCAAGAACAAAACTGTCTTCAGACCTATCAAATATGAGGAAGAAATAAGTTTAAAATATTTGATTCATCATTCAATCACCTAAGAAAGAGCTCAGTTGTATGTGTCTATTTTTACAAAGAAAATACGAGATGCTTACTTGCCATCCACAAGTTCTTCCTTGAACCTGAGATACTCTGAAACAGTCAGTTGCTCTACACTCAGTTCGTAGACATTAACGCGGATATATTCCCATACACCAGGCCTTGGACGAACTGCTATAGCCACGAAAGGAGGTAAAACTATGGCTTCCTATCATCAGTATCACATATATCACACATTAAGAACGTAATGGAGAAAACAAAAGCAAAAGTAATCATTACAATAAAAAAGAGTCGCAAAGGGCAAAACAATAAAGATTTCAGGTCTCAAGAGGTATGAAAACAACTATTTCTAGGTGTGGTCTTCGGTTGGTTCATCCACTACTAACCAGGAGGAAGAGCGACAATACTCAGTCTTGACATATTCATCAGAAATGAGCTCTCGTAGCAAAAGACTTAATGTGAAAAAAGGAAAACACACTTAAAAAGGTTTTAGCATACTTCAAACACCACCTAAAAGGAGAGAAGCAGGCACATCATGACAGTTTTAAACCATCTTCTGTAATGAGAACCAAATAAGAAAGAAATTCAATGTCTTTTGTAGTAAGATCCTTATTTTAGTTACCATTGAGAAAAGGTTCAACGAGACAAAAATTCAAGATGCTTTTTCCATTTCTGATGGTTCACATTTAGATCGGCTCTGCAGTCGCAATACCTAACATGGTTTTCAAATCATACAGGTTGATGGTTAGTTACAAGGTCCTCCTTATATAGCCTCTCAAGACTTATCAAATAACCGTGGTGAAGCACAATGCCTGTCAATCAACAATCAGACAGATCTCTTAGAAAGCCAAAACTCAGCTTCAAGTTATTCTTACTCAAGAATCGGAAAAAATCAAATTTATAAAACAGAAATACACTCCAAAATTTGTAAGTTCAATGTTCAATAGCAGAGAAATTAAAATATAATGCTTAACATGAACACCATTTTCAATCGTTTTCTGGTCAGCAAAACAATTATAATCTTCACCGAAATAAACTGTGGAGAGTATTGATATACCTGTGCGGATTTCAAGACCTCACTGAAGGGGCCATCGCTAAGAGAGTTTTTCCCTTCATCCTCGCGGATGATGTTCTCGAGCTCGTCCAGCAAATGATGCGGCTGCAGAATCCCCTTCCCCTGAGCCACATACCTTCGCGAACAAAATACGATACAAACTCAATCAATCGTCAAAAAAATTCGACCATCGTTCTCAAAATAAGCCGAGAAAGTCTCTCTCCGAGAAACGAAGCGAAGCTCTGATTTTCCAACAGGACTGCATCGGCGCTCTCGCTCTGTCTTGGTCCCAAGGAAACAGAGGAGCACAAGAACGAAAAACTCGAATCAAACTCAAAAGTCAAAAGGGTTTCCACTTCACCTAGTTTCCTCCCCTCTGGTGTCGTAATTTCACCGTAACCAAACACAACCCAGTTCACGGCGAAACAAGCTTCGAGCGAGAGGAAACCAACAAAAAGAAAAACAAACAAAAAAAAAGAAGAAGGAAAAACCTGGAGAGGAGCGAGACGAGTTCGTTCCTGTGACCGGAGAGAGTGTCCTCAACCCGCTCTCTGATGCTCGGAATTCGACCCAGTTTCGGAGCCGCCATGAGAGAACACAGTCACCTTCGAACCCTCCTCCTCAAACTGATCAAAGAACAGAGCAGGAACCCAAGAATTCGCCAAGCGAAGCGCAACGATGAATCGAGCTTTTGCTAACAACCGGATAGAGGTGTGTGTATATATACGTTACGTATCTGGGTTTCGGAAGCGAAGTGCTTGGTGTGGGAGCGTGAATTGGGCAAAGCGTCGAGCGACGAGAGAGGACGAGGGAATAAATAGCGGCGGGGTTGGACTCGGGGAACTGCTAATGGCGACGTCTGCTTTGGAGCACGAAGCAAGTGGACAAAAGATGAGGCGCCACCACCACCACCACCGTCACCGTCCTAGTGCAATGCTCACGCCCTGTAAAGTGGGGCGGCGAGAGAGAGAGAGAGAGGCGTGATTGATGGGAACAGAGAAACCAGCAAAGAGGAAAGAGATAGAGAGAACGAGAAAACAGGGGACACTTGGCGGTTGGCGCTTCCGGTTTCTCCTTTTCGTATTTCCTCGGAAAAGCTTGACATGACACAAAATGAAAATTAGAAAAGATTCCGCAATTATTAATCATACAAACCTCAATGATTGAGACAATACCGTCCCACATGTAAATTTACACAGATTTTTCAATATCTTCTAAAAATAACAGAAAAAATTATCCGCTAAACGCATTGCGATTTTATCAATTTATTCATAAACATTTTTAATTATATTAATTAAGTCATAAACATTTTCATGTTTTACTAATTGAATTCATTCGGTCAATTTTAATAGGAAATCGCTAACGCGAATACTGACCGTCTTATATGGCACATCTAGCGTTGACGTAAATAATTTTTAATAACTTTTTTCGAATTCTATGATTAATTTTCTATCTTTCTCTCTTTTTCTTCTCCTCTTTTCCTTCTTTACTTTTTTCTTTTTTTTCTTTTCGAATTCTTTTTTTTTATTTTGGGTTAATACCACGAAAAATCTCAAATTTGTACACTTGTGATAATTTTATCCAAAACTATTTTTTTTACCACAAAAAATCCCGAGCTAATACATTTGTGATAATTTTACCCCGAACGAATTTTTCGACTACCAAAAATCGCAAACTGGTACATTTGTGACAATTTTACCCCGAACTAATTTTTTGACCATTAAAAACTCTAAACTGGTATATTTGTGACAAATTTACCCTCCGTTGGTGTCCGTTAAATTGGATTAATATCATGAAAAATCACAAATTGGTAAACTTATGACAAACAGATGGGTAAAACTCAAAATCAGTACACCTATCAATTACCACATGTTATTAAACTTAGCAATTTGATAGTAAAATTTAACGGAAACTAACGGAGGGTAAATTTGTTACAGGTGTACCAATTTGGGATTTTTTGTTGTCAAAAAATTAGTTCGGGGGTAAAATTGTCATAGGTGTACCAGTGTGGAGTTTTTGATGGTCAAAAAAATAGTTCAGGATAAAATTGTCACAGGTGTACCAGTTTGGGGTTTTTTGTGATCGAAAAAATAATTTTGTGTAATTTTGTCACAGGTGCACCAATTTGGAGTTTTTCATGGTATTAACCCTTTTATTTTTCGACTAGTTCGATCCAATTTCAATCGTTTCTTGGAAATTTCTGACCAGTTCCCAAGGTATGCCGATATCCTGAGTTCATTTTTTGTCTTATTTTCTCCATATATGCTCTCCAAGTGTTTGAGTTGGTATAGTGCATATAATGAATAAATTTTGTAAGCATTGTTGCCAACTTGGTCATCTGGCATCCAATTGTTATCGATTACGACATAAGCAACCAATCAGGTGGAACAATCAACCACGAAGCTGAGATTCACATGTTGGTCCATTCGCCATTGTTGTTATCATAGAGGCTTCTCCCCTTGGATCGTGTGTCTTTCTATCCTTGGAGGATCCATGTTTCGTTGTTATGAGAGTCTAATACTTTTAGCCTCTGTATCCCTAGTACTTCTGCTATATCTATCGCCTCAAGTAATTGTGATTAATGGAAGCTCTAAATGTAATTGAAAAAAGAGATAGATTATGTAATGATGAAAATAAAACTAAAAAGAATACTCACCTAAAATATATCATCCTTTTTTTAATGGACCTATCATGGAGGGATCAAAAAAAATTTTCATCCAAAATCCTAAATAAAACTTCCATAAAAATTACATTGAGACAGGTTAAATAATCACATTTTTTTTCTTGAAATGGGTTGAATTGGTATTAGTTTGGATAGAGCAAAATAATTCCATTAATCTAATGTGCTTATTTGATCGAATAAGTACCTTGTGTTAGAATCGAGCAATTCTGTGGCTTGAATCTTTAGTATTCTTTTTTTACTCCACTTGCTATAATCACATTACTTCAAATTCCAATTTGTTTCGGTTAAATCCTTCATTTCACGAGCACCTCCCATTCACACAGCCAATAATTCACGAACGAGAGTCAGCCATACAAGACACATCTCAACATCCATGTTATTCTTGCCTAACACCTTTCTGGTTCCCAAACTTTCATTAAATTAGACTTCTATTTCTCTTCTCATGGGTGTCATGTGTAGGATCCACAGACAAAACAAACCACTAGGATGGGTTGTAGGGTGGGATGCTTCTTAGAGCTTGTTTTCTCAAATATTCTCAACTCCTTCGCTGGTTGTGTTGCCATAATATCATAAAAAACTAGGCATTCTCGGTTATATCATGCTTTTTCCTCTACATTAAGATATTTTATTTCAAGTGGTCATTTGGATTCTGTTGATAATAAAAATTTTGATTAACATGTCCATTGGGAAAACATTATGACTTGCCATTTGCTCTTAGTGAATATGTCTCTCATGCTCCTTTTGATGTAATTCACTATGATATTAGGGGACTGTCTCCAATCCCCATTATTGGAGGCTTGGTGAGAGGATCGAGAAGGACACGTCTCTGGTTCACCAATTATCGTCCCCACGATAAATGCTGGGTAATTGATTTCTCAATTCCAACAAAATGCAACTGGATCATTATTGACTAAAGCGAATTTTTGTAACACATTAGGTATTTTGTAATCTTCGTGGATAATCATTCTCATTATACTTGGCTTTATCTAATGAAAAATTGAATTTGAACTTACTCGTATCTATTGTACAATTTTCTCCGTAAATTAGGACTCTTTTCTGTACCGATAATGCTAGAGACATTAAATTTTTTAGAGTTCTCTCCCATAATGGTACTATCATTCATCATTTTTGTCTAGGCTCTTCCCAACAAAATGGTCGAGTAAAATGTAAACATAGGCATTATTCTATTGTTACACGCACTCTTTTAGTCTCTCTCTGTTGTTTAGAACAGTTTTGGAGAGAGGCTTGCTTTATTGTTGCATACACTATCAACTGTACTTCATCATCCATCATTGGTAACATTTCTTCTTAAGAGCACTTGTATGGTAATATCCTCAATTATAGTCTTTGGTAGTGTTTGTTTTTTACATCTTCCTCCACATGAATGCCTGAAATTAGAACCTTGTTCCCGTTTATCTCCCTTCCTTGGGTATGGCATTAAGTACAAAGGGTATAAATTTTGGGATTCTATCTCTAACTGTATTTCTATGTCTCATTATATTACCTTTTGAGATGTTCTCAAACCCTTCAAATCCCTTCGTCCCTTCTGATCATTGACTCATGTCCCTTCCCATCATCCCTTATGTGGATTTATTCCCAGAAGATCCACCTCTGTCCACTTATGAATCATTCTTCCAAAATTGTAATCTTGATGCAAGTCCTTGTAGCGATACCACCACGGCAACTTCTGACATGTATGGCAGCAAGCACTGACAGATAAGTTGCGGACTTTAAATATATCTCATTGATGGAATTTGGTTGATTTGCCTCCTGATTTTATGGCAACCATCCTACTGGTTCCACCCCTAAACGTCCTTAAATCCTCTTCAGCCAAATCAGAAGTCTCCGGATGAACAGGAAGTCAATTATTTCTGGCCACTTGAATAGGATCATCGGACGATTGGCCCCAAGCTCGATTTCCCCCCGGTGCCACTTCTTTGTCCACACTCAGGTTTCTCTCCAGGTCTAAGACAACAAGCCGGTTTGCAATCGGATCCATAGCCCATGACATTCCACGGATTTGTTGCTCTATGTTCTCGTTGAGATGCTGCTAGACGACGAACAGCCACTTATAAAGCCTGTGCCTCTAATGTTTGCCGGTGAAATGGTTGTCGCTATTGCGATTGTTTACGGACATTGCGACCCCATTATCTACCATGCTATTGTACCAATTGACGCAGTGAAAAAGCACGAGTCTCAACTTACAGAACGTAGAGCACGCACATGAAACGCACAAAGAGAAATCTCTTGATTTTCTGTATCTATACAAAGAGACAAATGAATTAAATGAAGGTAAAGCGCATATTTTCTTATGCATATAACTTAACAACAAAATAAAATACTCTATACAAAACGAAAATCCTAAACTAACTTAACTATAGAATTAAGAAAACCTAATATCCTAAATTTTTCAAATGAAAGACGCAAGTGCAAACTTGAGGTGCCGGCATCAACGGCCATACAGCTGACCATACTTAAGAACAATATACAAGTTTTTTGAAACGCCGAATACACATAAAGCGAACCACGACAATTGACAAAGCAAACGGGAGGCTCACGAGCAATTCGAGGGTGACTTGCTTCTCTTCCTTAATTGCACGTCGATACACCATCCTTAAACAGTGTTTTCTGTCTTATTCCTTTGGTAATCATCCTACGTACCTTTTGATTTTTTTAATTCCTTGCCGAATATATTCTTGCTTACTTTACCAATTTATGTTATCGGCTTCTTTGCATGATGATGTCTCTCTTTCTGCCAAGTCCTTTCCAGCCCCTTGTTCCATGATGCGAGCGTTCTGTGTGCTACCCGCTTGTCCAATAACGAGGAGTTTAGGACTTTTGTCTGGTTTTCATGATTCGGTCGCATCATGAATTTGTTTAATGTCACCCTTATCCCTTCTGCTTGGGAGAGAAATGTGGAAGGAATAGGTGAAGATCTGCCAAAGACCCAACGGGCTGTGGATCAATGACTTTAGGTTAGAGAGGAACAAGAACCACCCGAGAGGATTTGCAATGAGAATTAAGTGTATTGCAACTTTCCAACGGTTTTAACAGTCAGTGACAAACTTTTGGGACCTAAACCTGGCGCCGTCTAGATGATCGTTTGAACAGGTCCCATCCAAGGCTTGTGATAAGCCCTCACTCGGTGTCTAGCCCGCCCATCAAATGAAAGAAAATATAAACTATCTTTTTTCGGGTTAGGTGAGCCAAATCAATCTTCCAACC